ATGGCGATTAAAGTGAATGAGTGAACATAACGTGTATCAAATGTGATCACACTTGTCATCACTCAAGGGCAGTAGAACCATCAACAACATCAGAATTGCTTCACAATTGTCTTCATTCAATGCTTGCACCAAATTTACTTGAAACCTTAGTGTAAAAAATTATATATGGTACAGAAAGTACTTATTCCTTCTCAGAAACTCCTCAATACAAGAGCACATGTGGCTTTCCCTTAGTAAGCACCTGCACCCATGGACCACAAGATTATGATATGTTTCTTGGAATGTTATCAAGCATGTCATTGAAACTGGATAGAAGTTGCATTATTTGAGGACATAATATTAATTTCCACAAAAAATATTCTCATGAAGTTATTGAACAAGAACCAAAGATCAAATTTTTTTCCCTCTTTTTGAGGGGGTGGGGGCAGGGGGGTGGGAAGTGAAGAACTGGAAACATTAAGCTGTAAGGGGTGGTAAGTTCTTGTCCCTCTTATACAAGTCCGTCAAGATCAACACAAATACCTTAGCTAGTAAATAACATCTATTCATATCCATCCGACAATTGGGCTTACTTAGTAAAAGAAACACTACATTTCAAGCAATGATCAGCACTATTCAACATATAACTGTAAGATCACCTTTTCTTCTATGATAAGTAAACCCAATTCATGAAAACAGCACCTAATGTCACACTTCAGTACAATAAGCATACAATACAAGACTTGTACTGCTGTAAGAACTTCTACCAAACACTACTAAGTTTCAAAATGGATTAATATATGATAAATGACGATAACTATATAGACGGTAGATTATGTCACACAAGGCCCATTTCAATATATCAATCAGATGAGCCAAAATGGATCAAGCCCAAGTTGATAACTGTGAATTCACTACCCATACAGGACCCATGTTCTATCTTGTCTCTTAAATTTATCTGATATGCCTACACCATTATGACACATGGTAAATGATCCCATGTGGTTTTTTTTTTTTTGGGCTTTCTTCCCCAATAAAAACCCCTCATGACTGGCCCACCATTATAACCAGCGTAACAGCTGGCCGTGAACAAGAACTGCTGCTGCTGCTGCCAAACACCTATCCTGACTTTGAATCTTAACAAAATTCAGATCACTCGGCCAGCCATTGACAACCCTCCATCAAAGTTAATAAAACATGTATTCAAACAATGCTCCTACCACCAGAACAATACCCTAGCCCTATCAATCCAAAACCCATGTAAATTGTATAAGCTTGAGCAACCAAAAGTAACCTATAAGCCATTCTACAAGCACAGCCAATTTGAATTTGTAGTAGTGAAAAAGAATGGGTGATATCTAATTCAAATCACAATGACCGAGAAATCCACCAAATAGAATTCTCCACCATCGATGTTGCATCCACCATTAGCACATAAGAACAATTCTTCAGTTAAGAATCTTAACACACACTACTAATTCCCTATCATAGATACATTTTTAAACAAAAAATAAACAATAATGAGAGTGTTGATGGGTCAATGAGGGCTTTTCCTTTTCTTTACCTGTCAAGATATTATTTGGCTGTTGTTTCCTTTTTTTTCCTCCTTTTCTGTGCTCTTTATTGGATCTAAGTGGATTAGATGTATCTGGAACCAACAAACTAATTGCTTAAGTTGGTGACCCATTTAAATCCATTGGACTTTAATAGTCATCAAACTCCATTTGAAAATATGGTCTGAGTAAATAAATGGTTTTGGATGAAGATTATCACCTTGACCAACTCTGTTAAAGAAACACAGAGTCACTTTTGTGAAACATTTTGCAGGAAAGACTTCTATGTGGATATTTTATGCCATACAGTGACCTTTAGCATTTATTTTCCTTATTTTTCCCCTTCTTTCCCTGAACAAGGCGAAACCTAACTATGATATAGTTTACAGTCTCGTAACAAAATGACAAGAATATCATCATGAGTCTGCACTCTAATTGTTATGCCTACCTTGAAGAAGTCACACCAACCAATCCTTATGACTTGTGAAGAAGATGTCATATAAATATAAGCTCTAACTATAGCGCTTTCCTACCATCAGAGGCTTAGTCTACCGGTCAAAAAGGCAATTGCCTCATAAAATTGGGAGAGGAGAGACAAATACCCTCATACATAACTGGAAGTCCTTCCAAAAGACAAGCATTCTAAAAGATATTTCTTTTAGGAAAATAATTGGTCTTCTTAGAAAAGCACATGAACCTTATAAACTAACCATCAAAACACACATTTGCGCATTTAAGAGCTGCTCAGATAACGCTACTTTTTCCAACATGTAAATACTGACTCAGAAATTAAATCACAATATAATGCTCTAAAACTGAACTTTCTATCTAAACTGCGCATTCAGTTTAGTCCAACTAAAACAATGTGACTCTAGCAACCTATGATAAAGAGGGGGGGGGGGGGAACCTATGATAGAGCTCTCTGGATAACATAATCACCTTAACGCCATAAATTCCAAAAGTTTTAACATTGACAGAACAAGCAAATGTATGAGAAACCTATTTAACTTTTATGAACGCTCTATCCCACTCTATCATAGGGGAGAGAGGGGGGGGGAAGCTGAAACGAAAAATTGAGATACGGGGCAGGCAGTAATACCAAATTGTAGATCCAATTCTTTCTAATTTCTCACTTGAAGATCATATGGCTTTGACAGGAGTAGAAGTTGAAGAAGGATGTTCAGAGTGTTGCATCGATTTTGGTTCGAGAGGGGCACGAATAGCTTCATCATGATCATCAGGGTCATAATCTGGGTTGAGGTTGCGGTCGATGGCTTCACGGCCCTTCTCAAGACAGGGCTTGCAGGCGATCTCAATGGTGATCCAACCCAGTGCTACACCTGCTATTGCAATCAGTGCTGCGGTCAAAGCCCCCATCTCTACCACTTTCTCTGTTAACAACCCGTCCCGCTCGCCCTCTCTAGGCCTTGACTTGTTTGGGACTAGGGAGTTTAGCAGAGAAAAGGTTTCTACTGAAAAGGTTTCGCTGGCAGAAGTTTTCTACTGAAAAGGTTTGTCCCTAACTCTTGCAATTAGGGCTAGAAGACAGAAATTAGGGAAGATTTGGGATATAGATGATTGGTAAGAAACTCCCGTGGTTTCGCCTAAAGTCAACCGGCCAGGTTTCCAAATATCCATATAATAGAGTAGAATGGGAGTTTTTGCTTTGTGTCCTTAGTAAAATGGGTTCTGCCCCTTGTGGATCAATTGGATCAAAGGGTGCATATCTTCCTGTTCCTACTCTTTTAATATCAATGGGAACAAAATAGGTTATGTGTGTCCTTCTAGAGGCATTAGGCAGGGTGATCCACTGTCCCCATATTTGTTTCTTTTCTGTGCTCAAGGTCTTGCAAATCTTTTGACATCTGCTAGCAGGAATAATCTATTAACAGGAACTAAAATCTCCAGGAATGGCCCTGCCATCTCCCACTTGTTTTTCGCTGATGATTCATTAATTTTTGGTAAAGCTAACTCTAAGGAGGCAAGTGAGATCACCAGAATTCTTCAAGTTTATGAACTAGCTTCAGGGCAAAAGATCAACATTGAGAAATCAGCAGTTCTTTTCAACAGAAACACCTCCCAAGCAAATAAGCAAGATGTCCTCCAAACTCTTGGCAACATCCAGCATGTTTCTCATGCAAAGTATTTGGGTCTCCCTATGGTTATAGGAAGATCTAAAAACAGCACATTCAGGTTCTTGAAAGACAAGATGACTAGCAAGCTGCAAGGATGGAAGGGCAAGATGTTAAGTAATGCGAGTAAGGAGGTTCTTCTCAAATCTGTGGCATTAGCTCTACCATCATATACCATGTCAGTTTTCAAGCTTTCAGATGGACTATGCAAAACATTAAGTAGCATGATGGCGAAGTTTTGGTGGGGAAATGACCAAGGCGAGAAGAACATGCACTGGAAAAAATGGTGGGACCTGACAGAAATCAAAGGTAAAGGAGGACTTGGATTTCGTGATATAAAGTGCTTCAATGAAGCCTTACTTGCCAAGCAAGCGTGGAGACTACTAACAAAACCTGAGTTGCTAGTTAGTAAGGTAATGAAATGGAAATATTTTCCGAACTCCTCTATCTTGCAGGCCAAAGCAAAGTCAGTTTCCTCGTGGATATGGCAGAGCATTCATAGTGCAATCCTTTTGCTAGAAGATGGAATAAGGAGACAGATAGGGAATGGTATATCAACTGCAATTTGGAAGGATAGATGGATTCCCAATGGTATGAATGGACTAATAAGATCAGCTAGACCTCAAAATTGTGACAAAGACAAAGTCTGTGAGTTGATCAGTAACAAGAGATGGAACAACAATCTTATTCAGTCCATTTTCTCAAGAGAAGAGGTGGAACAAATACTAATGATCCCTCTCAGTATCCAGGAAAGGCAGGACGGTTCGTTTGGAGGCATAGCAGTAGTGGAGATTACACCACCAAGTTAGGATATGCTCAAGCCAGATTCAAATTGAGCAAGAAGGCCAATAAGAAGCAACCAAATGAGGGATCCAGCACAAGGAAGGATGATCCTACACTATGGCATCAAGTCTGGGATCTAAACATAAAACATAAACTCAAGCACTTCCTATGGAAATGTCTTCATAACATCCTGCCTACAAATGAAGATGTGCATAGAAGAACTGGTAAAGGGGATAAGTGGTGCAAATGCTGTGGTGAAGAGGTTGAAACACTAGAGCACCTTTTTTTCAACTGTAAAGCTAGAGAAGAGGCTTGGAAGACATTCCCTATCAAATGGGATGGTATTCAAGCAAGCTCGTGGAATTTCTGGAAGTGGTGGAAAGCGTTGCAAGGGGCTAGAACCAGAGTTAACGACATTAGTCACATAGAAGCCACAACAAACTTCTTGTGGCAATTGTGGAAAGCAAGGAATGCCTACTACTTCAACAAGGAAAGCACAAAAGGTAACCTGATCTCAAGTAGAGCTCTAGAAGAATGGCTGGAGTACAAATAGATGTGGGACCTGGAGAAAAGGGAAAGCAAAAAGGATGATCCAGAAGTACCAACGATGACCATCACAAAAGAACTTCAGGATCAACATGCCATTCTAATGTTCACGGATGCAGCAATGGACAAAAAGAGAAGTAGAGGGGGACTGGGCATCGCAGCAAAGGACCATAATGGAAAACTTGTTAAAACTTGGGCAATCCCTACTGGAATGATGAAGGATGCTGCCATACTAGAAGCTGAAGCAATCAGATCAGCCATGCCCAAAGCTCTAGAAGAAGGGTGGACATCTCTACTCATACATTCAGATTGTAAGTGTCTAGTGGATAGAATTAATCACAGATGTTTTGGGTTATCTCTATTAGATGTGTTGGTAGATGATATCATACATCTTAGTCGATCCTTTTGGCGATGTTCCTTCATATTTATTGGAAGGAAATATAATCGCACTAGTCATGGTTTGGCAAAATTTGCCATTAACCTAATTGATGAAACAAGGTGGGAGCTTGACTTCCCTGTGTGGCTTAGGATTGAAGCCCACAAAGATGTCCTGGCCATGTGCCAGTAGTATGTATATGATAGGAATATTGTAACATTTCTCACATATATATTAAATGATGACATTTTGACAAAAAAAAAAGTTTGTAGTTTAAACTGATGTAAAATTTAACTTACAAGTTACAAACCGTTATTTAAACTGATTTCAGTTTGTCGAATATGACTTTGCAACCTGTGATCGCTACAAGTAGCATAATTTCTACGAATATTGTTAAAATAAAAAAAGTTCACAAAAGTGGTGTAAGTTGGAAGCTTGTTCTACATTAAGGGTTGCTACAGATAGTAATGGAGGCTTCTTTAAAAAATTGTTTTTCTTTTTCATTTTTTTTCCTCTACAAAACTAAGGAGCAATTTTTTTTTTTGAAAAGCCTTCGCCGCTCGTGAAATGAGCAGGCCAAATTATTAAGCATTATGATGCAATTAAGGATCGCCGCATAGTTGATATGTTGTGATTCGTTTAAATTTTTTTTTCTAAAAGCTAACCCTAATCCTAATCATAAATTTAACCCTAAACTCGAAATCACTACACCCTAACACGTAATATAAATCCTAACCATGAGATCCAAAATTTAATTTACCTATAAGAATTGTGCTAATCATGCATGCTGTTAAATGAAAATAAAATATGCCCAAGTCATCCCTTTTTTAATATTTAGTTTTAATGTTAATTTAATAATGATAAATAATGTAGCATTCAACCATTTAAACGATAAATGAGTGCAACAATTAGCACATGAACTTGAATGATAATAATGGGAGATTTGACAAGAAAAATTCTTAAAATCTGAATATCACCCCCCAACACGTCTCTTGCCTTTATCGTGCGGAGTGGTAGAGTAGCTACATTTCCAATGTATCCTTCCGTGTGATGGATCTCATCTCAATTGTGGTCGTTCGAACCTTCGAGGTAGTGCCTGCACTTGTTCAGGCGTTTGGTCCTCGTCATCATCAACGGAGAGGTCCAATATGGGAGTCTGACTGCATCTAGGACAAGAACCATGTATAGACATCTGGAAAGGAGCATTAATGAAAATGATGTCGTCGTCCATATGAAAAATAGGTGAAAAGCCCATCGAGATCCCTAGGAAATGGTACATATAGTCAAGATCATCCTAGAATTTATTTTGCGGATGAAATGATGTATCATCCTAGAGTTTGTTTTGGTCTTCCTACGGAACAATGGCCACTTTGAGCAGATGAAGAAGATGAAGGGGATTTCGATGGGGTTGTGCGAGAGAGAAATATAAATGTTAGAAGTTGGGGTTCTCAGTCGAGTGAACAAGAAAAATGAGTGAACAATTGTGAGGACTTGAAAATTTACTTATATTTTTTTATAAGTCTCTTTTATTTTGAATAAGTTAATTTATAATTTCTTTAATACTAATTACTTCCCTTAATAGGTGTAGTAAATAATAGAGTCGAGAGTTTTACTTTTACTTTTAAAATTAGTGTAAGTTAGGATTTTGGTGCATTGTGGTAGTGTGATTAATTGGTGAGGTGTGTATACTAAATTTGGTAGATAAGAGCGGGTATTAAGTAGGAAGAAGTATTTGATTAAAAGTGCTAAAAGTACATTAGTGAATCATAAGTTAAAACAAAAGTACAAGAGAGGCAAAGAAATAGGCTTGAACCAATTCGCGCCGTTTGTTGCCGGTCGAAATCACCAATTGACCAATACTTTCTTTCCCTAATCTTCTTATTTTTCCTTCATTTTTCTTTCCCTAATATTATCCTAGGGTTGGCCGAAATTATTGACCAAAAAAGAGAGGAAAAGAAACAAAAATGAGAGGAAAAATGGTGGCTTGCCAAATGTTGGCAATCAAGGCCTTATTTGACCAAGAAGCTTTCTTCCAGTCTTATCTTTCCTAGCACAAAATTTCCTTCACTTTTCATCTTCTTTGACCGACTCTTGAGAGGAAAAAAAGAGAGAAGAAAACCTCCATTTTCCATCTTGATCTTTGCCTTGTTTGAGTGAAGATCAATAAGAACCACAAATCTAAACCGAACAAAGTTGCACTAAGGTAGCAAGAGAGCTTGTAATGGAGTTGCTTGGAGAGGAAAGCCTTGGTTTTTCACTTTCTCTTGGAGGTTTGAAGGTATTAAGCTAGGAAACTTTCTTTCTCTTTCTTATCTTGCAATTTATTGGGAAGATGATTTGAAATTGGAAGTTTTATAGAAGATAACCTAGATTTGTGAAGATTGGTGAAATTTCTAGCCTAGGGTTTTAATTTCAGCCTTGTTTCATATTTTTCAGCTATGGTATGATGGTATCTAGCTTTGTTATGGACTTGTATGAAGATTTGTAGCTTTATTGTGACTTTTAAGCTTCCAAATAGGAACTTCCAACTTTAGTAGAGAATTTTCTAGCCTCGATATGTGATGTTTATATGTTAGAGATGAGCTTAAATTAGTTGGTTTGGTGGCCTAGTATAAGAAACCCTTTTTCCTTATAACTTGTGGACTTGATTTGGATTGTTTTTCCATGGAGCTTAACCTTGGAAATTGAAGGGAAAATTAGGAAAAAACTGGAGAGATGCTGGTTGTTTTTTTTTTTTTTTATAGTTCATATGAGTGGAAGTGATATTGAGATGTGAATTTAGGGCATTTTTGTCTTCTTCTTGCATATGATTTTACTCAAAATACCTGTTACAAGCTATATCTTTGTATGTGTGTTAGTTTTTAGCCAAAACAAAGAGGTTTAAGAAAAGAAAACCTAGTTTTTCAAACTAATAGTTTGCTGGAAAATTTTCGTAGGAAGTCCTGCGCAGTTTTGGGAAATTAACTATAACTTCGTATAGGAAAGTCGGAATTGAGTTCTGTTTGTTGCGTTTGAAACTAGACTCATAGGGATTTCAACGGTGTAAAATCAGGGGTTGGTTTTGTGAGAGCTCTAAAAATTTTACTATTTTTGAAAGGTAAATAATAACGATGAAAATATTTATATTATGTGATTTTTGCCAAAATTCTGGTATCCTTATCTATCAAAAGGTCATTTTATATCTTAGTTGAATTTTTATTATTAATTACCCAGTTATCGTTTGGCTAGCATTAAGTGTGAAACTTTGGAGTGATGACGTGGAATTTAGTCTTAAGATGAAATCTAGAGCATGTTGAGACTTTAAAGAAATAGAAAAATGATAGGATCATATTGGTTGAGGGAAATCTAGTTATGGATAAGATGTCGCATGAGAACGCGACACATAAGCGAGTAGGTGAGGTGGTCCCCTTACCACACTTTAAAGGAAGAACTAGACTTGAGAGTTCATTCTCTCTCTTCCCCTTTGAACCAACCGAAATTTTGAGAGAGAGAGGGAGACTTGAGAGCTCTCCGTTTCCTCCTCCATCTTGCTCTTGAAGATCACTTTAAAACCCATCAACCACCATAATTTTTCTTCTTTTCTTGTTGAGGGCCGAGAGAGAGAAAGAGAGAACAGAGGGAGAGAGAGAAAGCCGAGAGAGAGAGAGAGAGAGAGAGAGAGAGAGCAACCAAGAGAGAAGGGACACCATCCATCTTGCTTCTTGTGGATTTGTGGAAGAAATCACCAAGCAACTTAGAAGATTTGACCTTTCTTGAGGAAACTTGAAGGGATGAATCTTGGAAGGAATTTTTGAGGTTGAATCACACTAGATCTAGTTAGATCTTGAGGTAAGAACCAAAAAGCATCCTTAATCTTTAATTTCTAGTCATGAAAATGTTAGATTCATTTGATTTGAATAAGATCTATGGTAGATCTAGTAAATTTCTTGAAGTTATACCACTAGATGTTCTTGTGGTTAAAATACTAGCATATCTCTTGATTTGTGGGTTGGATTTACTTGGAAATTTTCTCATTGATAACCAAGGGCTAATGATTGATGAAGCCCATATGGATTTGAATGAGTTTTTGTTGGCTAAATGGTTGTTTTATTGGTGAAATTCTTGAGAAATTTTTGGATGGGCTAGCCAAATGAAGAGGGTTAATTTTCCACCTTCATTTTCGACATTTTTGTGTTCTTTTTGACTAAATTGCACTCAAGTGACTTGGTATTATGTTAGTCTATGATTAAATGTTGAATCGGAGTTGAAAGTTAGGAACTTTAACGGTTAAAAGTCACTTTATTTCACTATTTTTGGGCCAAAAACTATCCGGGCAGCAATGGTGAATTCGAGACTGTTTTGCCATTGATTTTGTGTTTTCACGCGTCAAATTTTGGGGAAAACTATTCTCTATACATATTGTTTTCATAACTCGAGCTTACATGTCGAATTCAAGTGAATTTGGTTTAGTTTCGTGAATTGTTGGGGCGAAACTTATTGTCTCTTTTTATGTGTTTATAGGAGTGATTGAAGACTGTGATATCGATCCTAACTTGGATTCTGAGCTTTGATTTATTGGTGAGTTTCCATGCATGTTATCTGTCTTGAATTTGGAAATGTCACATAGATGTGAACTTGATATTATGACTGAGATAAATAGTATTCTGAATTGTTAAAGTGTTGTGATGTCACTTGGGTTGTTATCCCATCGACGATCAGTGATTGATTGTGCATGTTAATTCTTGGGAATTCCTAAGTCCTATAGGTAAGTATGTCGATTCGAGCCAGTCATGGGACTTGGTCGAGGAGATTTGACGAGCCATAGGAGAGTGTTTCATATTCACTGGGTTTGGCGTTTAGACTTGTCCCTTTTGAAGTGCAAACTATGGTATGCTCGAGCAATACCCCTTTTAAGTGTTTTGGATTTCAGTCCCGGTAGGGGGAGTCGTTGGAAAGAGAATGAAGTAAGTGGAGTTCTACATAGTGATAATACTTGAAAGTTGACGGAGTGTCGACTACGTGAAATAATATCAAGATTCGTGGACATTGGCTCTTAAGAGTCACCCGTATCTTACCCCTTGATGTTGTTAATCACTTTATTTACTCGCTTTAAATTGTGAAGTTGAAGTGTTCTATGTGATTGTATGTCTTTTTGAGAACTCGCTGAGTGTTAGCTCATTCTTTCCAATTTGTTTTCCTTAGCAGGAATTGAG